TGAAAAACAAAAAACAAAACATTATAGATCAAATGGACACCTAACTGTTATATACAAAACATTCCCCCCAAAAGAAGCAGAATACACATTCTTCTCAAGTGTATAAAGAACACTTCCCAGGACAGATCACATGTTTGGTCACAAAACAAGTCATAACAAATTTGAGAAGACTGAAGTCATACCAAGTATCTTTTCTAACCACAACAGAATGGAATTAGAATTAAACAGAAGAAAAAGAACTGGAGAATTCACAAATATGTAGAAATTAAGCAATACTCTCTTGAACAACCAATAAATCAGCTAAGGAAGAAATCAAAAAGGATATAGAAAATATCTTGACACCAATGAAAATAAAAACACAATGTAGCAAAAGTAGTACTAACAGGAAAGTTTATAGTGGTAAACACCTACATTAAAAAAGAAGAAAGATCTCAAATAACTCTACAGGTCTAAAAAAAAGAACAAACTAAATCCAATTTTAGCAGAAGGAAGGAAATGATAAAGAGTAGAGCAGAAATAAATAGAGAATGGAAAAATAACTGAATAAATCAATAAAAATAAGAGTTGGTGTTTTTGAAAAGATCAACGAACTTGATAAACCTTAAACTAGATTAAGAAAAAGATGACTCAAAATCAGAAATGAAAGAAGAGACATTACAATTGATGCTACAGAAATAAAAAGGATTATAAGATACTCCTCTGAACAGTTATATGCCAGTAAATTGAATAACCTTGAAGAAATGGATAAATTCCTAGAAACATACAACCCACCAAAATAAATAGAAATAGAAAATCTGAACAGACCTGTAACTAGTAAGGACACTTAATCAGTAATCAAAAACCTTCCAACAAAGAAAAGCCCAGTACTAGATGACTTCACTGGTGAATTCTACCAATCATTAAAAGAAGAATCAATGCCAATCCTTCTTAAACTCTTCTAAACAACTGAAGAGTGAATATTTCCAAAATTCATTTTATGAGGCCAGTGTTTCCCTGACAGCAAAGCCAGAAAACAATACTGTAAGAAAACTACAGGGCCAGGTGTGGTGGCTCATGCCTGTAATCCTAGCCCTCTGGGAGGTCGAGGTGGGAGGATCACTTGAGGTCATGAGTTCGAGACCAGCACGAGAAAGAGTGAGATCCCCGCCTCTACTAAAAAATAGAAAAATTAGCCAGGCATCGTGGTACATACCTGTAGTCCCAGCTACTCAGGAGGGTGAGGCAGGAGGGTACCTTGAGCCCAGGTGTTTGAGGTTGCAGTGAGCTATGATGATGCCACTGCACTCTACCTGGGGTGACAGAGCAAGACTCTGTCTCAAAAAAAAAACAAAACCAAAAACAAACAATGAACAAACTAACAAATAAAAAAACTACAGACCATCTGAATACAGATGAAAAAACCCTCAACAAAATACCAGCAAACAGAATTCATCAGTACATTAAAATGATTATATACCATATATCCTTGGATACAAGAATGGTACAAAATATGAAAATCAATGTGATACACTACATTAGCAAAATAAAGGATAAAACTTATATTATCATCCTAACAGATACAGAGAAAGTATCTGACAAAATTCAATACCCTTTCATGATAAAAACTCTCAATAAACTAGTAGTAGAAGGATATTATCTCAACATAATAAACATCATATGGGAAGCCCACAGGTAACATCAAATGCAAGGGTTAAGAACTGAAAGCTGTTCCTTTAAGATGAGAAAAAGACAAGGGATGTCCATTGTTGCTGCTGCTTTTTAACACAGTACTGGAAGTCCTAGCCAGAACTATTAGGCGAGAAAAGGAAATAAATCCAAATTGGAAAGGAAGAGGTAAAATTATTTCCCTTCACAGATGACATGATCTTATATGTAGAAAACCCTAATGATTTTCCCAAACAAACCCCGTTAGAACTAATAAACAAATCCAGTAGAGTCGCAGGATTCAAAAATCATGCAAAAATCAGTTGCATGGCTACACAGTAACAACCAGAAAAAACATTTAAGGAAAAATTCCATTTTCAATAGCATTAAAAAGAATAAAATACTTGGGAACAGAAATGTAACTGAGGAGGCAAAACACTTGTACAGTGAAAATTACAAAAATTACTGAAAAACATTAAAGATGACACAAATACGCCTGTAATTCTAGCACTCTGGGAGGCCGAGGTGGGCGGATTGTTTGAGCTCAGGAGTTCGAGAACAGCCTGAGCAAGAGCAAGACCCCGTCTCTACTAAAAAAAAAACAGAAAGAAATTATCTGGACAACTAAAAATATATAGAAAAAATTAGCCGGGCGTAGTGGTACATGCCTGTAGTCCCAGCTACTCGGGAGGCTGAGGCAGGAGGATTGCTTGAGCCCAGGAGTTTGAGGTTGCTGTGAGCTAGGCTGACGCCACGGCACTCTAGCCCGGGCAACAGAGGGAGACTCTGTCTCAGAAAAAAAAAAAAAAAAAAAAAAGAAAAAAAAAAAAAAAAAATGACATAAATAGAAATCACATGTTCATGGATCACAAGACTAAATATTGTTAAAATATCCATACTACTGAAAGTGATCTACAGATTCAATACAATGCCTGTCAAAATCCCAATGGCATTTTTTACAGATATAGAAAAAAAATCCTAGAATTTATATGGAGCCACAGAGAACAATAAATAGGCAAAACAATCTTGAGAAAAGAGATAAAAGCTGCTGGCATCATACTTACTGATTTTAAAATATATTATAAAACTACAGTAATTAAAAAAGTATGGTACTGGCTAAAAAGAAAGACATACACCAATGGAACAGAATAGAGAGCCCAGAAGGAAAACTGTACATATATGGTCAACTGATCTTCAACAAGGGTGTCAACAGGGATACACAATGTGGAAAGGATAATCTCCTCAACAAACAGTGCTGGGAAAACAGGATATTCACATGCAGAGAAATGAAATTGAACTTCTATAGTATACCATATGTGAAAATCCACTCAAAATGTGTTCAAGATTTACAACTATAAGACATGAAACAGTAAAGCTCCTAGAAGAAAATGGGGAAAAATTCATAATATTGGTCTTAGCAACAATTTCTTGGATATGACACCAAAAGCACTTGCAATAAAAGCAAAAATAGATAAGGGACCACATTAAACTAAAAAGTTTCTGTATAGGAAAGTAAACAAGCAGTACAGTGAAAATGCCACCTACAGAATGAGAGAAAATATTTGCAAACCCATATGTGATAAGGGGTAATCTCCAAAATATATAAGGAATTCCTACACCTCAACAGCAAAAAACCAACAAACAGATAAGCCCAAGTAACCCAATTAAAAAATGGGCAAAGTACTTGAACAGACATTTCTCCAAAGACATACAGATGGCCAACAGGTATATGAAAAGATACTCAATATCACTAATCAGGGAAATGAAAACCAAATCCACAATGAGATGCAATTATCATCTCATACCTATTGCCTGTATCTGAAACAAAAAAAAAAAACAGAGAAAAGAAAAAAAGAAAGTAACAAGCATTAGGGAGGACGTAGAGAAACTGGAACGTCAAACAGTGCAGTTGCTATGGAGAATGGTATGGAGGTTCCTCGAAAAATTAAACTTCAACTACCATATCATCCACCAATTCCACTGCTGGTATTTATTTTAAAAAACTGAAATCGGGATCTTCAAGAGATAGCTGCACTCCCATGTTCACTGCAGCATTCTTCCCAATATCCAAGAGGTAGAAATAACATAAGTGTCTACTGACAGATGAATGGATAAAGAAAATATGATATAATGTATACATATAATAAAATATATTCATAAAATATTTATTCAGCTATAGAAAAGAAGGAAATCTTGTCAGATACTACAATATGGACGAATCTTGAGGACATTGGGCTAAGTGAAATGAGCCAGTCACAGAAGGAAAATACAGCGTGATTCAACTTATATGAGGTATCTAAAATAGTCAAACTCAGAAATAGAAAGTGCAGTGGTGGTTGCCAGTAGGTGAGGGGAGGGGGAAATGGGGAATTGGGTGTTCAATTGGTTTAAAATTTCAGATATGCAAAATTAAAAAGTTCTAGAGATCTGTATAATATTGTGCTTATAGTTAACAATATTGTGCTGTACACTTAAAAAGCTGTTAAGAAGATAGATTGCATATTATGTGTTTTTATCACAACAAAAAACCACAGCTGGTTACCAGTAGTTACTATAGACTTTTACCATAAGCCCAGCTGAGAATCTTACCAGATATATAGCGACTTGGGTTATTCCTGAAGCGATCATCCACCAGAATAAGAGCTCCCCAATCATTTCTGTGTCGAATACACCTACAAAAAATAGGGGTAAAATCAAATAATGTTGAAAATAAAAGCCAGATTTCTAGTGGGACAGACAGAAATTTGAAAAACTCAATGGTGTGTCAGATTTATTTCTTCCTTCCTTTCCTTCCCTCCCTCCCTTCTTCTCTCTCTCTCTCTCTCTCTCTCTCTCTGTCTCTCTCTCAATGTCACTGTTGCCCTGGGTAGAGAGCAGTGGTATCATCATAGCTCACTGCAACATCAAACTCCTGGGCTTAAGAGATCCTCTTGCCTCAGCCTCCCGAGTAGCTGGGACTACAGACATGTGCCACAACACCTGGCTAATTTTTCTATTTTTAGTAGAGACAGGGTCTCTTCCCTCTTGCTCAGGCTGGTCTCCAACTCCTGAGCTCAAGGAATCCTCCCGCCTTGGCCTCCCAGAGTGCTAGGATTACAGGCATGAGCCACCACGCCCGGACTATATATTCCTTTAATCAATTCATTATTATGAAAAGTTATAGAAGCTACCCAGTACAATGTACCAAAAGAGCTTTATTAAAAATCCCCTACTTCTCCCAACTACTGATAACTTCTATCCAAAAATGTTATATACATTTTATTTTGAAATCAAGAAAATTATAGAAAATATTTTCCAAGACCACCTTACTTAGCTACAAAGATCATTTTTTACCTCAAATATTATTAACAATTGTATGTTTCACGTAGACATCCTTTTTACTAGTTTGATTAGAGTTTTTATCATGAGGAAACACATAATTTTGTCAAAATTGTTTTAAAATCAATTGATATAATCATGTAGTTTTTCTTCTTTCAACTGCTAATATAGGAAATCACACTGGTTCATTTTTTTTTTTTATTTCAGCAAGTTATGGGTGTACAGATGTCTAGGTTACGTGTGTACACTGGTTCATTTTCAAATATTGAACCAGTCGTGTATTCCTAGGTTAATCATATGTGGTCATGGTTCATTATTCTTTCTAGATTGCTAGATTCAACTTACTAATATTTAAAAAACATTTTTATTTTAAAATAATTTAAAAAGTTTAAAGTGTGCAATTCAATAGTTTTTAGTACATTTATAAGGTTGTACAACCTATAGCATTATCCATTCCAAAAAGGAAACCCTGTGCTCATTAGCACTCACTCCCAATTATCCTAATTATTTCCCATTACCTCTGGCAACAACTAATATACCCTGTCCCTAAAGATTTGCCTATTCTGGACATTTCATTTAACTGGAATTATATTAATATGTAGCATTTTGTATCTGGCTTATTTTACTTAGTGGGATGTTTTCAAGATTCACTCATATCATGTATCAATACTTCATTCAGTTAATAGACAATTGCATTGTTTCCACTTTTTGACTATTATGAATAACGCTGCCAGGGTATTTTCCAATTTCCCTCATGATTTCTTCTTTAACCCACTGGTTGTTTAAAGAGTGTGTGATTGAATTTCTACATATTTGTGATTTTTGCTTTTCTCTTCTGTTACTGATTTCTAGTTTCATTCTTTGTGTTTAAAAGATACTTTTAATGATTTCAACCTTATAAAATTTATGAAAACTTATTTTATGGCCTAACATATGATCTATCCTGAAGAATGTGCCATGTTAACTGGAGAAGAATGTATATTCTGCTGTTGTTGAATGAAGTGTTCTATAGATATCTGCTAGGTTTGTTTGGAGTTGTTGGTTTAGTTTTGTTCAATGTTCTACTTTCTGTTGATTTCATATAAAAATATCTCTTCATTGATATGCTCTAATTGGTGAGGCAAGACACCATTCCCATAATTTCCTGTAGTTCTTTTGACACAGTTTCCTTAGTTCTTGAACATATTTAAACTAGCTTTATTTGCTAAGTAAAATGTCTAGGCTTCCTTAGGGACAGTTTCTATTGATTATTTTTTTCCCTAGTGTATGGATACACTTTTTTCTTTCTTTGCCTGTATAATAATTTTTGTTGAGAACAGGACTTTTTTGGTTTTTTTTTTTTTTTTTTTTTTTGGAGACATGGTCTCACTCTATCGCCTAGGCTAGAGTGTAGTGGCCGTGATCATAGCTCACTATAACCTCGAACTCAAGTGATCCTCCTGCCTCAGCCTCCTGAGTAGATGAGACTACAGGTATGCACCATCAGGCCCAGCTAATTTCTTTTAAAACTATTTGTAAAGATAGGGCCTTGCTATGTTGCCCAGGCTGGTCTTGAACTACTGGCCTCACGCAATCCTCCTGCCTTGGCCTCCCACAGTGCTGGAATTTATAGGTGTGAACCACCATGCCTGGCCCAAAACAGTACACTTTAAATAACATAATGTGGCAAGTCTAGAAATCAGGTTATTCTCCCTCCTCAAGGTTTTTTGTTGTCGTGACTTTTCTGAAATAATTCTGTAAATCTGTATTCTGTCACGTGTGGCCACTGAAGACTGCTTGGTTAGCTTAATAGTCAGCTAGTGATAAGACAGATTTCTTTAGGACCAATGTATCTCCCATTCTCCGCCAGGAGGCTCTGCACGTGTGTTGGGACACACTTTCAACCCTCAGCAAGGCAGGTAACAACTCTGCCTCGGTCTTCACTTTCTGTTTCAGCAGAGCATCAAGGTGGTAGCTTAGGGCCGCCTTAGGCCTTTCCTTAGCATGTGTACATCCCTGGTCATAAGCATAGTCTTTCTTACACATATGCATGTCCCACTAAAGTCTCAGGAATATGTGAGAACTTTTAAAGCCCCCTATGGACATCTCATTTCTCAGCTTTTCTATTTAATTTTTTTTCTTAGCTAGCCTCTTAATTGCTCCAATGTCATTCATTGTCTCAGGCAGCTATAAAGTTAAACAATTGCCTGGGTGAGTTCTGAGTCAGGTCAAATAAAGATAGCCTTGTGAGCAGCGTCTTCCAGGGGACAGGTAATATAATGGCAAGTCTCTGGGAATGCACTCCAGGCCCATTTTTCCCCTTCATGACTGTCAGGTTGCTGGCTTTCACCATGATTTCAGGCTGTTGGTTTATAAGGCTACTGTGAACTTGGAAAGAGGGGATAGGAATAGGGCAAGTTAAAATTCCACAAAGCTCACTGTTTGTAATGAGATTCATTTATTTTCATAAATAAATGCTTTCTGGAAATGCTGTAACCTTTGGTTAATATCTAGAGTTTTGATACAGTTGATTATAACTGCTTTTGCCTATTTTCTCATTGCTTTTAGAATTTTTAGAAGTCTTTGACAGTTTTGAGGACCTCATCCAGTTTGCTAATACTTGAATGTCTTCAGCAATGTTCAAGAGGGATATTGGTCTGTAGTTTTCTTCTCGTTTTCTTTTGTTTTTGTACAGTCTTCACTTGGTTTTAATAGCTGGCCTCAAAATAAATTGGGAAGGGTTCCATCTTCTATATTCTAGAAGTGATCATGTAGAATTGGTGCTATTAATATTTCTTCTTTAAATGTTTGGCAATATTTGCTAGTGAACCCATCTGTGTGGACAATTTTTTCAGAAGGCTTTTAACTATAATTTTGTTTCTTTGATAGAGGACTATTGACCTATTTCATCTTGGGGTGAGTTTTGGTATTTTGTGGGTTTTGAGGAATTATCCATTTCATCTGAGTTATCAAATGTGTATGTATAGAATTATTCACAGTATTCTCATATTATCCTTTTAATGTCTGTGGAATCTGTAGTAATATCACTTCTTTTATTCCTGATATTAGTAATTGTGGCTTCTCATTTTTTGGTCAATTTTGCTAGAGGTTTATCAACTTTATTGATCTCTTCAAAGAGCCTGATTTCAGTTTAGTTGATTTCCTTTGTTGTTTTGTTTTCAATTTCATTGATTTATACTTGTTTTTTATCATTTCCTTTTTTTCTCTTTGCTTTACATTTATTTTACTCTTCCTTTTCTAAGGAAGAGTAAGGTAGAAACTCAGATCATTGATTTGAGATCTTCTTTTCTAAAATAAGCATTTGATGATATAAATTTCTTTCTGAGCACTGCTTTGGCTGCAGCCTGAAAGTTTTGATATATTTTCATTTTTGATCAGTTCAAAATATTTTCTAGTTTTACTTGAGAGTTCCTATCTATGGATTAATTAGAAGTATCCTGATTAATTTCCAAGTATTTGAATATTTTTCTGTTATTGATTTCTAGTTTAATTGTTTAATTTTATTATGATCAGAGATCATACTTGGTATGACTTTTTAATGGTCAACCAGGCATGACAATGGTCTACACTGTAACTATTCTATGTGCACTTGAAATAATGTTTACTTTCCTATTGTTAAGTGGAATGCTCTGTAATGTCAGTTCGATCCCATTGGTTAATAATGTTGTTCAAGTCTTCTATATCTTTAACAGTTTGTCTACCGGTTCTTAGTAGAGAAGAGGAATTACTAAGAGAGGAATTTTGAAGTCTTCAGCTATAATTGTGGATTCGTCTATTTCTCTTTTCAGATCTCTCAGTTTTTGCTTCATGTATTTTGAAACCCTGTTTTTAGGTGCATACACATCTAGGATTGCTATGCCTTCTTGGTGAATTGGCCCTTTTATCATTATGTAATGTCCCTTTTGATCCCTATTAATTTTATTTGCTCTGAATTCTACTTGATCTGAGATTAATATAGTTACTCCAGCTAGTTCATTGGTATTTTGAATTGCAAGTCAAAAATTTCCCTAAAAACTTGGAAGATAAATTTCTCTTTTAACCTCAATATTGCTTTTCAGAAGTCTGCTGCAATTGTGATTCCCTGTCTTCTGTATGACACCTGTCATTTTTGTCTCTGGAAGATTTTAACACCTTTTCTTTATCCCTGGTACTTGGAAACTGCATGGTGAGATGAATTTTGACCTGGGAAATTTCAGTTTTATTTTCCAAGCTCTATTTAGCATTTAAAAATTGTCGGTATCATGTTAATTTCTAAGAACTTTTTCTTTTTTTTGTTCTTGTTTCATGGAGGCAATATTCTACCTCTTTATGCATATTACTGATACTTTTTTTTTTTTTTTTTTAAAGATTTCTA